TGTTTCTGTTAACAGACCTCGGAGCATTATTTTGATCTTGCCTAAAGGCCCTTCTCGACAAGCTGACTTCTGCTTACGTCTTTGGCCACACCGCCAAAAAAGCCTCTTTTGCTCCAGTCAAACTGATTTACTTCAGCTCCTCAGACACACCGTGATCTTTCATGCTTCTGTGCTGTGAACACGCTGTTCCCTCTGGCTGGAATGTCCTTCTGCCTCTTCACTTGTCTCACACACTTCAGTGGCACTTTTTGGAAGTCTTCCTGAACCCCTCCAGGCCTGTGTTTTCATTACACTTTTATCTTGATCACTGGTTCTCAAAGTGTGGAAATACAAATTCTTAGACCTCACCTCTGATCTGCTGAATCTTGGACATTGGGCCCATCAATCTGTATATTATTTTAAGAAGCCCTTCAGATGAGTCTGATGTGCACACAGGTTTGAGAACCACCCATCCTGACACAAGACAGGGTGTAACTGCTCAGGGCATTTTTATTTTCCTCCCCAACCTGTAAGCAGCTTGAGGACAGGAACTGTCTTATGCCCAGGGAAGAAGGAAGCAGAGAAGACACTCACTAAACATTTGCTGAACAGATTCTACTTCTGTATACATACCCACATAGCCATAACTAAGGACAGAGACAGTGGTTCTAAACAGTGAATCAGCTACCCTCCTGAGGACTATTAACTATGAAAAGGCACCAAGAAAGTAATGAACACACCAGACCAAACAGTAACCTACTCTGAATCTACACATAAGATACGGGGTCACGGTGAAGGCAGAGGGACAACAATCAACACGGCACTTACCATCTCACACACACAGGAGAAGCATACAGAATGGGGATTAACATGCCACAGGGGAAAGATGCTGCTGTCATCCAACAGATGCCAACAGTGCAAAGAGTGAGGGACAGACAATGGGCACGGCAGGGCTGACCCCGCGATGTGCACTGAGCTCCCCAGACAGACGGTTCACAGCCACTGGAGGCAATGTGGGTGAAGAGACAAGAGCCCACGAGGTCAGCAAGGTAAGGTACATGGGGGTGGTTCTTTAGGGACATGGAGACCCAGTTACCTTCTTCTCTAATATTCGACATCAAGTGACCCTCTCCAGAGCAGGACTGTCTGAGGACTTATAAGCCCAGTGGAAGGCAAATGAGGTAATGAGCATACCGCTCATAAAATATATTGTCAATAAAATCATGAAATAAATAGTATGTGTAACCAGAAGCAAGAAGCTATGGACATGTCACATCAGCACATCATGCGAAGGGACACACATATGTGCACTGTGAACCAGGACTGGGAAAACAAATGCGGTAAACAGGCCAGTCTGATCACAACACGAGTGTGCGCTGGTCAGCTAAGCCACGAGATCGCACACAGAGATGACTGCCCGTGGCAGGGCTGTGGACGTAACCTGTGAGCCCGAACAAAATAAAGTATAACCTTTACAGGTTAAAGTAAACATGCAAAACCATAAAATGTGTAAGAAACATGAAACCACATAATAGACACAACAGGTGAAAAAACACACACACGTGAACATGTTAAGACTGGACAGGAGACATGGACATCAGATATGAGAACAGGAGATTCTGATGGAAAAGAACACATCATTTCTTCACAGCCCATGGAGAGCATAGGACAACCTAGCCGCACCCAAGCCATTAAACATGTCAAAGGCACACGGACTCCATGTAGAAAACATGGCCCCCTATGAGGCACTGCATGTCATAAGGGTCTACAACAGCATAGAAGGCCACAAGAAACAAGAGGTCCCGTGCCTAGAGAGAAGCAGAGGTGTCTGAGGGCATTCGTAGGAAGCCAATTCTGCTGGGGGAAGGAGGCAATACACTGCCTTCTCCCTGCCACCAACCCCCCCCCCCCCAGATCATGTGGGGCCAAAGGGCAAGAAAAGGAATTGGGAAAGTGTGGGGAATTCCCTCTCCGAGATTCCCCGTCCACACCCTCATCCCAAATTAACAGGGTCTCCATCTCTCCTTCCTCTTGTGTCTCTTCCATCCTTCCTCCCTCTCAGGCCCCCTCTCCTTTCCCCAGCAACCCTCTCCTCAGTCGGCCCTTATCCTTTTCCCACCAATCCTCTCTCCGGTCCGCCCTCCCAGACCCAGTTTTTCCCCCATCCCCTCCTCCATGTCCCTTTTAGCACCCTCCTCCCTCCTCCGCCCATCCCTTTCCTGCCCCCACCTCAGTGGGGTGGGGGGCCTGGGGGGCTGGCCCCCTCCCCAGCCGGGCTGCGGCAGCGGTGGTGGCGGGTGGCTGTGTCTCTGCCTCAGTCGGGGTGTCGGTGCCAAGGGGGCGACAGGATTTGGGGGTGTCCTAGCCCCGGCCGATGGAGGGGAGGTGAGAGTGGGAGGCTGGGCCCATAGCGATAGGAATGGTGGGGGGTTGTCCCCCTAGCTCCCTCCCTCCCTCCCTTCCTGCTGTCTCTCTGAGGGCTGGGGCTGCTGCTGCCGCTATCCCCCGCCACCCCTCCCCACGCCCGCTAGTTTCCGGGGCTGGCCAGGAAGTAGGGGGCGGTGATGGGCGCTCTGTTTTGCCAATCGCCTCCCGGGGACCCAGGCATCTCTTCCCCACATCGTTCAGTAGTCTCTTGCTAGCTCCTCCCCACGGGAGCTCGCCCGGACTCTGCCTCCCTCGCTCTGGCCTTCTCTGCCTCCAGCTGTATCTTTTTTTCCACAGTTTCCCTTCAGCACACATGCCTTGGGTGCCCCGTGGTGCTGTATTCCTTCCGTGACCCGGTCCTTCTCATTTCTCCATCAGCTCTCCTCTTATTGTCAATTGATTTCTTCCTTTCTCCTTAACGCCCACATCTGCTACTTATTCCCTCCAATTCCAACCCTTCTCCAACTCCTTCCTCCTGTTCCCTGTTCAAGTCCAAATATTTATCAAGCACCTACTATATGCCAAGCACTGAGTTCTTCACCTCTCTCCTCTTTCTCTCCAGGGCTCCATCTCACCGCAACTTGCCCTCCGGCCCTCTTGCCTGGTCTCTCTGCCCTTTGTCCCCCCACTATCTCCCAGCAGTCCAGCTCCCTTCTCCACCCACTCCCTTCCTGGTCTTTGGAGAGAAGGGATACTCTCAGGCCCTCTCCCTGCTCCTGTCCTCCCCCCATTCCTTAACTTAGTACTTTTTCTTTTGTAGTTCCTTTCCTTCGTATCAGTCTCCTTACTCACCGAAGCTGAGACAACTGAGCTGTTCTGCGATTGGCAAAACAGAGCCCATCACCGCCCCCTCCGCAACGCAGAAAAGTACTCTTTCCTTCCAATGGAAATTGGGCATTAGGGTTGCTTTCTTGAAAAATTAAGTGGGGGAAGAATGCTGATTCTTCTGGGATGAGCATGCCTCTTTAATTTTGTCATCATGTACCTAGCTCTCTCCCCAGCCCTCTTCCCCATACTCCCATCATCCCCTTACCAAGATTACTCCATCACTTCTCCCTTCTTGGTCTCCACCTCTCCCTCTCAATAACTGTCCCTAGACCTCTACACGCCTCCTGAACCTTTACCTCCCCTGCCTTAGACAACTCCCAACTTTTTACCTTTCCTCACTTGAGTCACTTGGACCTTTTATAAGGATGTTGAATAGGCCTCAGCTTGTGTCTGGCCTCCACGTCCCCAGACACCTTTGCCCTGAGAGTTTACACGCCTTGAGCAACAGGATGTAAAGAATACTAATAATGAGAGGGCTGTTACCTAGTCCTGCTCCTTGGGCCACAGACTGTAGAAAAGGCCCAAACTCGTAGGAAAGGCCCAGACTCTAGCAGCTGGCCCAACTCCCAGGGGTCCAGCCCGGGAGGAAGACCCCCGGACACAGTACGAGAAGGAAGGGGCGGGCCTAACCCCATTCCGCCGCGGGTCGCCTAAAAGGGGGCGGGCCTTGCCTCTTCTGCACCCTCACAAGGGGGCGGAGCTAGACATTTTCTGCTCTTAAGATTTAAAACGGAGTCGAGGTCAACTCTGTTCTACTGTGTCACATTAGAAAGGGGGTGGGCATTTAGTTTAGTTCTACTCTGTAAATCACCTAGAGAGGGGCGGACTGAGTCGTCCAGATGAGGGAGATGGGTTAATACCAGCGCCGCAAATCGAGGTTGGCACCATCCAAACGTCGGGCTAATCCCAGTTCTGCTCCCTTCTTCACTAAGAGGGAAGGGCAGACCCAAGCTCTGTTCTCTACGTCACCGAAGGAGGACGGAGCCATTTTGAACCCTGCGACCCCAGTATTTGTCCTCTTTTCCGAGCTCTTCGCCGTCTTTTCCGATCTCGGCCAATCAAGGGCGAAAGAAACGGCCCAATCAGCCGAGAGAGCCCACAGCCGGAGGACCCGGATGAGGCCGAGCCGAGGCCTTTGAACCCAAACCCCGCCAATTGTAGAGCAGTCACCATGGCGACAAGAGAGATGTGAAGGGGTGGGACCCGAGGAGGCTCAACCCTTACAGGATTGGCCCACCCCTTCCCGCCTCCTGCTGCGCACGCGCATTTTACCTAGCCACCATTTTCCGTCGAGTTCTAGCCAACCAATTGCTTTGGAGTCATACGCTCCAAAGTCCAATAGGAATGCGTGCGTTCTCTGAAAGAGGAAGTAGAGGAAAAAAAGGGGTTTTGGTGGGCGAGGTCTATGTGGTCTTGAGCCAATTGCCTCTGGCCTTTGGTTATGACGGGCAGCTACTCGGACGAATAAAGCCTTCCCTGGCAGTGCGACAGGACGTATGGAGTTGTTACCAATCCCTTGGCACTGCATACTGACTTAGACTGTACCAGCCAATAGTCAGTGTGCAAGGGCCGGACCGCGCAAACCTCTTTCCACCCCCACCCTTTGGACCAATCCTTTCTTTAGGCCCTGTGTGATTGGCAGGCACTCAGGCCAATAGTGATTAGAAAACCTTGAAGCCTGTCCAAAGATCGTGGGCAGGAGGCGGTTTCTCGTTTGCTGGGGCGTTTGTATGTTTGTTTCGGGGGATTAAGGGGTACGAGGGGGCGAAGCAGAGCTGGCCATGGCAGCGGCGGAGGAGGAGGACGGGGGGCCCCGAAGGGCCAAACCGCGAGCGGGGCGGGGCGGGCGCGACCTTCGAATGTAATATATGCCTGGAGACTGCTCGGGAAGCTGTGGTCAGTGTGTGTGGCCACCTGTACTGGTGAGAATCTGGGACGGGGGCGAAAAGGAGGGGTTCACCTCCATACCCGGGAGGC